CCCCCCATGCATTTCTATTTTAATTTCTTAGAAACGCGGGGCCTGGTTCACTGCCCGGTTTATGGCTCTGTCTGTGGAGCAGGAGTCAGCCTGAACAAATTTAAAATCTTCTAGGGAACAAGAGAAAACCCTAAAGAGATTAGTCCTAAACTAGAAAAAGCTGTAGCAGTATATGTAGGAAATGATTGTCAGCATATCTGAGCCCATATACTGCTGGGCTATCAGTTGTGCTGGACTGACGGTCCAGAAATGACAGGCTGGGAAATATGTCCCCATGTTTCGGCAAGTTCCCAGGACTTAACATTTTAATGTTACTCTGAGTCAGAATACGCCTTCTCTGTTTTTTGGTTGGGTTTTTTTTTTTCTCCTTTTTTTTTTTTTTTCCAGCTGGCGATTAGCTAGACAGGTTTTAAACAGAACAACATGTTTTTGGCAGAAAGGACATCATAACAACCCAGGGAACTCTTAAAAGTTGGAGACCGTCGCGCTGCCGTGTGCTGTTGAGCAGCTGCTGTATTTCACTCCAGAAGTGGCTGGTTTTCAGTGGCTCAGGCACTGAGGTCCCTCTATAGGTGCTTACATTTCTAACGTGTTTTCAGGGCTCCTAGAGCTGAAAGTGCTTTATGTAAACAGCATCATTAGTTTTCATAGCTTGTGCAACCCTGCCTTTTTTTGGTTTTGTTTTTTAATCTTCTGGTTTTGGCTGTGTCTTCGGGCAAAGTAGGGATGAAAGCCTTTTGGTTGTTAGTCTGGCCTTTAGGATAAAATATAGCCTGGGCCTGATCCTGCATTCCAGGCATTCCCCAAAATCTTATTGGCTGCTTTGCAAGTTCTGAGAGTGCACAGAAAGCAGATCTGGCCTGTAATGTGCCTGGATCTATTTGCCTCTGACAGTCCCCTCTCTTCTTAAAATTACTCTGGTTACACTAAGTGACATTGCTCCTTGTCAAAAGAGATGGGGAAATAAGCATGCTGGCTGTTTTCTGCTGAGGTACGTTGCTCACAGCAGTTGCTAGGAGTTTGTTGGGTTTTTTCCCCCTCCTTTCAGCCCTTATTCAAATTAGGGTTTAATTCTATTCCTAGTGAAATATAAGGATATTTTGATATGTGGCTTCCTGGTTCAGGCATTTAAAGAACACTTGAACTTCTTAAAAAAAACAAAAAACAAAAAACAAAAAAACAAAAAACAAAAAACAAAAAACAAAAAAACAACAAACCAAACGT